GGCGGAGGGTTGGACTAGATGACCTGCAAGGTCCCTTCCAACTCTGTCCATCTGTTAAATTCCTGTTCAATGCCACGGGAGGCATTAACACCGCTTTATAAAGCCTTAGTAAGAGGCAACTGGGATACGGCACCCAGTTTTGGTCATCGACACATTACAAAAAAGATGTTGCAAGTTTGGGAAAAGTGCAAAGAAAAGCAACTAAGATGATTAAAGGCCTGGAGACAAAAAAATATATCAAGAATGGTGGCAGGATCTGTCTAGAGATAAGAAGGACGGGGGGGTGGGACAGGACATGATAGCAATATTCCAGTATTTGAGGGGCTGCCCCAAAGAAGAGGGGGGTGTCAAATTATTCTCCAAAGTACCAGAAGGCAGGACAAGAAGCAACGGAGAGAAGCAACCTGGAATTAAGGAGGAATTTCCTAAGGACAATGAACCAGTGGAACTGCTTGCCACTAGAGGTTGTGGGTGCTCCATCACTGGAGGTTTTTTAAGAAGAGATTGGATAACCATTTTGTCTGAAATGGTCTAGGATCTTCTGCTGGAGCAGGGGGTTGGACTAGAAGACCTCCAGGGTCCCTTCCAGCTCTATTCTGATTCTGATTTATTAGATTTATCTCAGGTTAAGTTTTGGTTCTGTCTCTCCCAGCTTGGAGAAGCAACTTGGAACTAAGGAGAAACTTCCAACCAAGGAGAACAATTAGACGTGTGTTCTGCCTTCTAGATTTCTCTCCTGCTAGCCATGGGGGAAAGCAAGACATGTAATGCCCATGTTCTGTCTTTTGACTGCTGGCTGAATAGAAAGACAGACAGACAACCTCTGCAGAGGCATCCACACAAAGTTTCTTTATTGGGTCGCCAGGCATCCTCAAATATAATTCACGGTTATGTTGAGATCCATCTAATGTCCAATTCTTTGCATAGCTGATTTCATAGCGTAAAAGAATAGTGATCTTCCATCCCATAACGAAGGATCAAGGGGGTGAGATGTTGCTGGGGTCCAGGCAAGAGTGAAGGAAACTCCCCCAACCCAACCAAGGGTCAATTCAGGGACCAATCAGGATTACAGATGCGACCGCATGACATGAACTACATTTCCCCGGGATGCATTAACCACATTTACCGTGAGGCATTCCCTTAAGGGGACAGCTCCCAATTCCTAAGTAAATGAGCCCACTTCCCTTGTGCTGGCTGGACAGCACAGCCCACAAGATTTCGGCAAGGCCATTTCACCAAGCCCAGGCCTTGGCCCTACCTGTGTTGTAACCTTGGAAGCGATCGGGACGGTATTTCTCAGCTGGCGTTCGAGTCATCAAATTATCGTTTTTGAAATATCCATCACCGCTGGATAGAGGGAGGAAGAAAAGACATCGATTCTTATTTTTCCAAGAAAAGATCACACACCCACCCTACTGGAGGCAGACGATCTTCCAGAAATTTACACGGCTTGATGTCTGAATCAAGCGGGGGATCATTACATAGACACTAGAAGGCAAAATCTGACAGAGCTTAGGGGAGGCCATTTTCACCCTCCCAGAGAGCCAGGGGAAATCTCCAGACCCTTGAGAGGGTGAAAACGGCCTCTCCTGGGCTCTGGAAGCCCACCGGGAGCTGGAAACAGGAAGTTCTGGCCCACCACGGCCACACCCATCTAGCAACCGGGCAGTGAACTGGTGGCTGGGATTTTGGAATCCCACCCCTGGGCCAGGGCCATCCAACAGTTATCAGCTGCCTTTGGAGTTGGATATCAGTGGGGCAGAAGAACAGCAGGAGCCTGTTCCCTGTGTGTGCGCATGCACAGAGCTGCCAGAGATTATTAGCATTACCTGGTGTACCCAATCAGCACGTTGGGGGCTGAGAGTTTAGTGTAGTCCCACTGCATCCCTCCATCTTGGTAAAGGAACAGCGCGTAGGTTCTGTAACCGTCTGTGGTGAGAATGGCTTGATAGGTGTTCGTCTAAATTAACGAAAAGAAAAACCAGGGGTGAGATGATAGCAGTCTTCCAATATTTGAGGGACTTCCATAAAGAAGAGGAAGGGGTCAACTTATTTTCCAAACCACCACAAGGCAGGATTAAGAAGTGACAGATGGAAACTAATCCAGGAGAGAAGCAACCTGGAATTAAGGAGAACCATCTTAACAGCAGGGGTGGGATTCTACCGGTTCACACCGGTTTGGTAGACCCGGTTGTTACGATTCTCCGTAGTTCGGAGAACAGGTAAAAAGGGCCCTGGCTGGCCCCGCCCCTCTCCGCCCACTTCTCCGCTCCCTGACCAGTCACTCCTTATAGCGCATGTGCGCGACATCGCTGCCCGCATTTTCCCACCCGCCGCCATTGCTTCCTGCAGCAGCAGCAAGCCAGCCAGCCAGCCAACTAGCCAGGCCAGCCAGCCAGCCAGCCATTGCTGCCTGCCTTCCACCACCCCTAGCCCTGACTGATCTGGGTGAATGAAGGGCCGGTGAGAACAATTAACCGGTAGAACAGCTTGCCACTAGAAGTTGTGGGTCCTCCATCCCTGGAGATTTTTAAGAAAAGATTGGACCAGCACTTGGCACAGGGTATCAGGGCTCCAACAAATCTACCCCCATTCAAATCATAAGTCTCTAGCCACATCTCTCAGAGTTTAAAAAAAATGATTTATTAGGAGTGACCATTTCGGCGTTACCTGGGTGCATTCGACACAAATACATCATTCATTTCCCCTTTGACCCTGGTTTTCCCCCCACCCCCTGCATGTATATTCTCCAATGGGACACATCCATAGCCAAGAGTCATCAAACATGCTCTCCAGTAATATTCCTGCACGCCGACAACTTTGGGCTGCCAAGATGATTATCTAAGGCATTTAAGGAATGCACTGCTTCCCCCCACTCCCTTTCTGCTGGCAACTAAAAGACCAAAGGAGTATTATTATTATTTTAGTTGATACAGGGATGATCTCTTGCCTCGAGCAAGGGGTTGGACTAGAAGACCTCCAACTCTTTTGTTATTCTGTTATCCTGAATCACAGCAGGTCCAGCTAACTTCATGAAAGGAAAAATATCGCCCAATGCTTGTTGAAATCCACTCACCTTGCTCTTCTGCCTCTGCGCAGGATAAGGTTGGACTTTGTCCCAGGTGACTTTGAGTAACCACCGAGCTCGATAGGAAGACTTGACGTACCGGCGAATCTTTTCTTCCACGTCTTGGACGAGGGGGTCTTTGGCAGAGTTCCCACAAGGATATTCCTGTGCATGAAGGGAGAGCATGTGGTCAGTGGGGAAACCAAAGGAACATGTAGAGTAATGGTGGAGAAGATGTCGGAGGTCTTCTGAAACGTAGGGTCCTTGGTGCTGTCTGAGCTGGGTTGATTTCTTGTAGATCAGAGATCTCATTCTCACGGCCCGCAGGCCAATTGCGGCCCGCAGGACGATATCCTGTGGCCCCCACCGTGATATGAAAGTATAATATTAGTGCGGCCCGCAGGGGGAATGGACCTCTGAAGGAAGTCCCACCCGCCGTTCCTCGTCATGGCTGACATTCGGTGCTAGGCCAAGATACACCGACTTCGTGCACACTATGCTTGTAACAACAGTGTGGCGGATGACGAACAGTCCGGTAGCAGTCGCCTTTTTTTGCGGTCGCCATTCCGGTACTTTCTACCATCAACAAATGCCACGATCAAACGCAGAGAAAGGCAACTGCTACCAGGCTGTTCGTCATCCGCCGCGCTGTTGTGACAAGTAGAAGCGGAAATGACGTCACGCGTCGAGATGTTCTCCATGCGTCGCTAGCTGGCTAAACACTTCTATGAAACGTGGAACAAGAGCGACGCCAAGTGGAATAAACTAAATTTTGTCACACCCTCATCATGTCTTTGTCAAAGCCTGCAGTGAAGAGAAAGATAGGTGACGAGCACAGACAATGACATTTGAGGATATTTTTTTTAACAACGTTTTTTGTGGAATCCCTTATGCGGCCCAGCCTCACCCAGACTCTGCCTCCAGCGGCCCCCAGGTAAATTGAGTTTGAGACCCCTGTTGCAGATGGTTCATTACCTGACCAGGTGACATCATCAGGGCTAGAAGGGAGGGGTTTGTGAAGAAGAAGAGGAGGAGGAGGAGGAGGACTGAGGGGTCCTTGGTGCTGTCTGAGCTGGGTTTTCCTGCAGGCATTTCATTAGTGGACTATGTCAGTGGTGGTATTCAGCCGGTTCGCACCGGTTTCTACAACCCGGTAGCAAGGATTTGGTGTGGGTCGCCGAACCAATAGTAAGTTCTGGCTGGCCACGGTCCCGACCCGGTCACCTGGTCACCGTTCGCTCGCTTGCCCCACACACCTGATGCTTGCTCACCCCGCCTGCCTGATGCCAGCCCGCCCAATCACACCTTAAGGTATTTCTTTTTTTACCCACTTTTCAGCTTTTCCTACGATCAGCTGTGCCAAGATTCCCCTCACTTACTTACTGCTTTGCCCAAGAGCCTTCCTGGGCCCCAGAGAGGCCCCCAAAATGAAGCGGGGGGTTGCGTCCCCATATATGCTCCGGTTTTTTTTCCTTCCTGAGCAAAAATGCCCCCCTTCCTCTTCCCCCTCCCCTTTTTCCTCCTCCTCCTCCTCCTCCTCTCAGCAAACTCCATTCCCTGGCTGGGGAATTCTGGGAGTTGAAGTCCACACCTCTTAACGGTGCCAACGTTGAGAAACACAGATCTCGCGAATCAACTTGACTGGTTTTGCTTCGTAGAGGTCCCTAGCGTCAAACGATCGATGGCTCACCTGGTAAAAGATGGTGCCAGCTCCCTTGGAGAAGTCCGCATTGTCCCAAAACACAGCCACCATGGGTACTTTCTCACGACCATTAAAACCACCGGAAGGTGGGTTGGGATAGCTGGAAATGTCTTGGTCAGAGGCGGGGAAGACAATCTGTCCGTTATCCGTGAACTAAAGGAAGGCGTAAAAAGAGATAGCGGCTTTTGAGAAATAAATGTTTATCTAGCCACCACAGTTCTCTGTGCGCTGTGTCAACTCATAAAATATTTCGATGTTCTTTTTAGAGTTGCCAACAGAAAGGGAAGGGGGGGAGCAGTGCGGCAGCTTGGAAACCAAAACTGCATTCCATAAATGTTTTCAAAGATAGTAACGAGGTGACTGAAGTTTCTGCCAGCGCAAAATTCTAACTGGAGAGCATGATTGATGACTCTTGACGATGGATGTGTCCCATTGCTGTCAGGATTCCGGCAGTTACCCCCATTTAAATCATGAGACTTGAGCCAAACTTCCAGAACTTAAAAAGGATTTATTAGGAGTTAACATGCCGGCACTGCCTGGGTGTAGCCAACTCTGAGAAATTTAATTCATTGTCACCCTTGACCCTGGTTTTCCCCCCACCCCGTTGGGTGTATCGTAATTCATATTCTCCAATGGGACACATCCATAGCCCAGAGTCATCAATCATGCTCTCCAGTTAGAATTTTGCATGGCAGAAACTTCAGTCACCTCGTTACTATCTTTGAAAACATTTATGGAATGCAGTTTCGGTTTGCAAGTTGCCGCACTGCTCCCCCCTCCCTTTCTGATGGCAACTCTAAAAAGACCATAGAAATATTTTATGAGTGCACATGAAGTGCATCATATGATTGCAAAGGGTGTGTGTGTGTGTGTGATTGCCGGAACTATGGATCTGGGTCATAAGTCCCCTTTTTCAGATAGGGTGTTAGTTTTAAATGACAGGTCATAAAGTGAGGACTGCCCGTATTGGGCGCAGAGCTGTGGTGGCGCAGTGGTTGGAATGCATGTATTGCAGGCTAATTCCACTGACTGCCAGCTGCCTGCAGTTTGGCAGTTCGATCCTGACTGGCTCAAGGTTGACTCAGCCTTCCGTCTTTCCATGGTTGGTAAAATGAGGACCCAGATTGTTGGGGGCAAGAGGCTGACTCTATAAACCGCTTAGAGCAGGCTGTAAAGCACTATGAAGCGGTATATAAGTCTAAGTGCAATTGCTATTTCTTCCTTCCTTCCTTCCCCCTCTTCCTTCCTTCCTTCCCCCTCTTCCTTCCTTCCTTCCTTCCTTCCTTCCTT